TTTAATTAAAAAAAAAAAAAAAAAAAAAAGATTCCTGGAGCCCCAACTCCCACCTATCTCAATTCAATTGATATGGGTTGGAGCCAGGACACTCCTTGTATTTTAAAGCTCGCCAAGCAATTTTAATGTGTAGAGTTGGTTTAAGGCATTGCTAAAAAATATCCTGGGGTTTCTTAGTGAAACACGAAATGCTATTAATAAAAAGAAAGCCATTTGCAGAATTAAATATAAATATACATTGAGCCACAAATTTAATGATGGTTTTTACTAAGTTTTTCCACATAAGACTGAAGGTTACAAATGACAAAACTGCAAACCTATAATGAGATAAACAACAAAGCCAAGAATGAGTTCTCAACAATTGCTCTTTAGAAAGTGTGTCTCATACCTATCTTAGCAACCTTATACACAGTCCTGCTGTTATGTTTCATTTTCTATGCTCTTTCATGAGGCATCCCCACACCTGTTTAAATATGTCTGAAGTAGCTGTTAAAAAGAAAAACCGAAGTAAATGGCAGATGTTCACATAATTTATTCATCCCTGAAAGCCTGGCTATAAGAGAACAAATGCANATGGCAGATGTTCACATAATTTATTCATCCCTGAAAGCCTGGCTATAAGAGAACAAATGCATGTGGATGAATACTCAAGAGGTGACACAGGACCAAGCTAAGGACAATCGTCTTACAAATGGCACCTACTAAAATCACTCTTGGAGTCTTGAATTAGGCCAAAAGAACAATAGATGAGTTTTGAATTTTAAGCCTGCAAACCGCTCTCCCCCATCATTTGCTCCTGATCACTAACAGCTTATTTCCAGCCTGCAATTCTTCTCTACAGCTAAAACACATTAGGCCTGTAACTTTTTAAAGCCAATGTTAGTCTGGTTTTCCTAAGATTAGTGTTAATTATAAACCAGCAATGTTCTGCTGAAATTTGTTAGAAAACCAAAAAGATAAAAAGAGCACAAATTAAATCAGAAAGTTATATATGTGATAGGGACATTTAACTTCAGTTTTTTTCTTTCCATTTTTTCTTCGTATTTTTGTTGCAGAAATCAAAAAGAAAAACTAATATATGAAAAAGCAGTCAGTAGGTTTTATATACTTGGGGAAAAAACAGGAAGAAATCACCCTTCTTTCCTCTCCAAGTTTTAAACTTTCAATAAACTCAAATCAGACCATTTCCAGCATATAAATTGTGTTCTAAAAGTTAAATTTTGACTGTCTGGACACATAATATATTTTTCCTATTGAAACAATTATTTCAGATTAATACACAAAGCCCCTAGGAACCTATAAAGCTTTGAGTCCCTGAATGTCTGTACACCAACATCGAGGGCAGTGGTTCTCAAACCTCATGTTTAGGATGCTTCTGGAACACTTGTTAAAGATGTAGATTAACCAGTCCCCATCAAGCAGATTCTGATTTAGTAGATATGGGATGCGACCAGGAATCTGAATTTTTTTTTTCCTTTTTGTCTTTTTTTCACTGACCGGTAACGGGATCGCAACCCTCGGTGTTGCACCCGCACCACGCTCAGCCAGTGAGCGGGAACCGGTCTCCACATGGGATCCGAACCCTCGGCGGGAGCGCCGCCGCGCTCCCAAGCGGCGCACTCTCCAGTGCACCACCGGGCCGGCCCAGGAATCTGAATTTTTAACAAGCACTGTCAGTGGTTCCAGTACAGATGGTTCAAGCACCATTTGAAAAACAGTTGAGGAAAACAGAAGATGGGTGGGCAGACAAAGGTTGTAGGAATTAAACAAAAGCTGGAGTCATTAAGTTCCAGTTGGCATTGAGAAGAGAAGGAAATAAGGCTAGAAAGGTAAACAAAGGCAGGAGAGTGGGCAGGAAAAGCTGCCGGGCATCAGCAGGATAGCTCTGACTATAAATGGAATGATATAAATCAATCAAATGTTCTACTCCTAAGTCAAGAACTATTAAAGGTTTGACAGCCACATATTTAAAAGATATACTTATTTTAGCATAAAGTATAGTTAGCACAATTGTTTTTCTCTTCTATTAAAAGACTGTTGTTCCTGGATTCTAAAACAGCCTCTCAAACCATCTTCTCTCTTACAATAAAAATAGATAAACTGACTAATTTTCATAAAGTACTTTTACTTTAGACTATCTACCATGATAAACAACTTGCTACTAAAATCTGGGTTCATGTCCTGATTCTCACTTATAATATGAAATGGTAATGAAGTACCTAGAACACTCAAATCAATAGAGACAGTAGAATAGGGGTCACTAGGGGTTTGGGGGAGTAAGAAATGGGGAGTTATTGTCTAATGCGTACAGAGTTTCAGTTGAGGATGATGAAAAAGTTCTGGAGATGGATGGTGGTGATTGTACAACAATGTGGAAGTTACTAGGGGTTTGGGGGAGTAAGAAATGGGGAGTTATTGTCTAATGCATACAGAGTTTTAGTTGAGGATGATGAAAAAGTTCTGGAGATGGATGGTGGTGATTGTACAACAATGTGGAAGTACTTAATACCATTGGATTGTACACTTAAAAAAGGTTAAAATGGTAATTTATGTTATGAATATTTTACCATAATAAAAAAATTAAATGGTGATATCTGCACAAGCTGACTTAAAAAGATACTAGAAGACAAAAAAACACGTGAATGCACATGAAAGTCTTGCAGGGGGAAAACAATTTAGAAGGACTATGCAAATACAAACTATCATCAACGTCTTTGACAGTATAAAAGTGATTCACAAAAACAAAAACTTTTAGATATACCTCATGTTCATCATTTCGTGCTTTCTTTGTAGGAATCCCATTTTCCTATAAAAGACGACATTCATAATTGTAATATGTCACGAAAGAATGCGTGCATAGTAAAAAAATATGTCTACTGTACAAACATTCCACTAAGGAGGCTGTCCAGATACCTGATTCAACTGAGAACCTACCAAATGCCCAGTTAGTTTTTCCCTCAGCATTTGCATTCCTAGTAAGTAGAGCATCAAAGTGTTTCATAAAATAAATTATCAGAAAAGCTAAATCTCTTTCAAGTATATCTTCCAAGTTTTTATAAAATAAGCAAAGGTTCTGTTCAGTCTTTAAGGAAAGACTGGCAGTTTCCAGTGATTACACTTAAAACAGTCATTTCATTATTGAAATGAAACTCCAGGGAGTATGACTAACAAGCCGTGAAAACACTCGGCTGCACCTCCTGCCTGTGAATTCCACCAAGGTGTGATTACTATGCTCCACCAAGCACTTTTAAATTATGCCACTCACAAATGCTCACCCAGTACACGTAACATTTAAACACCAAAACAAATACTAATGAAGAAAACAAAATAAACAGAAAAATAATTATTCCAAGTCAGTTCTAAAACATTATTTCTGTTCCTAAAACACCACACTACATTCCTAAGTTCAAGGTGCAAGAGTTTTAATCATTCCTGGCTGAGAACTAGGGAAACCTATTATTTATACAACCACTTTGCGTACCACTCTCCACATTCCCAGAATTCACTGGCATATCCTGTTATACTTTGCCCTGCCCTATCTTCAATTTTGTCTAATCCCAGACCTCATCGCCTAAAACCCACCCTCCTTAGACAGAATGTTATGCCCACTGAGATGTTTCTAGCTCACTCTTTGTTCTACCTCCAGCCCTACCTACATAATTCTCTAAAATACAGTTTTATTATTGTTGTTATTGTTATGAGGTACACAGATTTTGTTATGGAATATCCAACAACACCCCCACAGTCACTATCTTATATTTCCCTGTTGTATTTTTATAACTCTTAATACTATGATTGGCTTGTTTGTTTTATGGTTATCTGTCTCCTCCAACTGAGTGGGAACTACATCTATCTTATTCACCACTGCAGCCCCAGTGCCTGGAATAGTGTCTGGTTAACAGTCTGCATGCAATAACTATTTACGGAACGAATAAATTAATAAATAAATGAATGTATGCACTTTTGGTCAAAAGCAAGGAGAGGTGCTTGGAGATGTGAGATATTTAGGTTTGATAGTTCACTGGCTAAAACAAAACACAATACATGGACACGTATACAAGCACACACTCTCACAGAAAGACAAACAGTAACACAGAGTTCTTTCTGCCCAATCTCTGGTTTCTTTCTCTCTCCAAATTATATAACCCATTGCCCTGCAGCTGAACACTTAGAAGTAATGAGCTGGAGGCATTATATAAGAGAGATAAAAAGTACAAGCTCTGGAGTTAGAGCACCTAAATTCAATCTTCACAACAGACAAGATTTGTGACCATGGACAAGGTACTTAACCTCATTAACAAAAATAAGGGTAATAATAATAGCAGTTCCGGAAAGACTGTCATAACGCATGTCAAGCACGGAGCACAGAGCTTGGCTAAGCACCACCAGCACTTGACAAATCCTGGCAGTTCCAGAAGGACTGTCACAACGCATGTCAAGCACGGAGCACAGAGCTTGGCTAAGCACCACCAGCACTTGACAAATCCTGTTATCCACCCTATCACCATAGTTATTGACAGTTCCATACTCTGAAGGCTGGAAGGCAGCACAAATCTTAATTCAACGTTCCATTACCTGTTTGATGCGTGATATTCAGCCTCTGTGGTGAGCAACACCAACAAGGTCAAATTATTCTTGCATCTGAAGCAGCTTCCTTCTTCACTGGTCTCTGCCCCTACACTGATCTCCCTGCAGCCCTAGAAAATCCAGCTCCATATGGTCTTAACCTGGAGTGCAGTCCTGGTTATTTACTCAACAGATGTGCCCCCTATACAAATTTGGTCATTCACTACTTGGATTTTAAGGAAATAACTTCTAACTTAATGATGGGTATTAACATTCACTACCAAATATGTCACCTTACCAACTATCAAAAGGGACCTCAAAACTCCCCAATGATTTCGAGGTCCTCTCAGATCTACTTATAACAGCAGTTCTCCTCCTACTTGACTGACATCCTTTGTAGTCTTACAACTGTCAAGTGATTTTTAAGTTCTAAGAGAATAGCTATTCAAACACCTCCATTTTTTCCGCAGCAGTTCTCCTCCTACTTGACTGACATCCTTTGTAGTCTGACAACTGTCAAGTGATTTTTAAGTTCTAAGAGAATAGCTATTCAAACACCTCCATTTTTTCCCAGTCTTATCTTTTTAGCATCTGTTTCATAGAGCGGTGAAAAAGCACAAGTCTTATGGTCAGAAATCCTAGTTCAAAACCTGGCTCTGGCACTTACCAGTTGTATGATCTTAGGCAAGTCAATGAAACACCATTAGCCTCAGTGTCCTTGGAGATAATAATAGCAACTCATAAGGATTAAATAAAATATGTTCACATGGTGGCTAGCAAAATAAAAATAATCCACAAATATTATATTATTATTATTATTAAAAACAAACCTCTTGTTAACTTCCTAAATTATTACCCTTAAATCTTTATTCCTACCAAAATCTATATATTTTATGGACCACTAACACCCCTTTCTCCTAAATACTCCTGGCTGAATACTATCCTCATACAAATTTTAATTCACAAAGGAGGCTCATGACCCTATTATAACTCCTATGTTTCCCCTCATGACTTTCAACCACAACCTTTCCATTCAAGGTGCTTCCAAAAAGCATTTTATGGTGATACTAGAAGCACATATTTTCATCCCCCAAACAAGTTAAAACGATACCTCTTTAGAGTCCACCTTCAGAGGAATATCATGAAAGGGGGAAATGTAGTGACCAGTTACATTCTCTGCAAAGGAAAAAAACAAAAGAAAAACAGAATTAAAGCAACAGACACATTGTTCTTTACAGCAGCAATATCCTTATCCACTTTTAAACTTTTTCCAAAGCTAATTTTAACTCCCAATTTAAAGTTTAATTCAACTTTTAAAACTTGGTTCAATCTGAGGACCAAACAGAAATGTATAACAACTAAACCATATTTGAGTTGCCGAAATCATCTACTTATTCCCATGGCTTAAAACATCCAAAGCAGAAAATGTCTAAAATATACTAAACCCCAAAATATGAAAAAATCTCACTTTTGAAAAAGAGACTCATCACTAAGTGAATTGGATTAAAATTTATGTCAATTTCCACAGGAGAAACTTGACAAGAGAATTCCCAATTTCCACTTACAATCCACAGGAAGAAAGATCCAAAGGTCCTACTCAATTAAAAGAAAAGAAACAAATCATTTGTTTTCATTCAAACTGGTAAGGATTCAAATAAGAAGGTAGGCTTAAAACAAAAATAAACTTGAAAAACAGAAACTATATTATGTTAAAAAGTTTTATACTTAAATACATAAAAGAGGTCTTCGAAAAGTTCATGTTAAAATTTGTATCATCTTTCAATTCTATTTTTCCATGAACTTGCTGAAGTACCTTCATATTTCACATACTTTTAAAAGTACAGTCTCATGCCACATAACAATATTTCAATCAACAATGGACTGTATATGCATCAATGGTCCCATAAGATTGAAATACTATATTTTCATTGTACCTTTACTATGTTTAGATTCACAAATACTTATCATTGTGTTACAATAGCCTACATAATTCAGTACAGTATCATGCTGTACAGGTTTGCAGCCTAGGAGCAATAGGCTATACATACAGCCTAGGTGTGTTGTAGGCTATACCATCTAGGTTTGTTAAGTACATTCTATGGTGTTCTCACAGTGGTGAAATCATCTAACAATATATTTAATCACCATTGTTAGATAACACATGATTGTATATATTAAACAAATAAAATGGCCCAATGTATATTTTTTCTGGACTATATTTGCTTCCAAAAGCTGCACTTAGTTACAGAATTTTCACTTTGTAATTTCCTAAGTCAGCATATGTTTTACTTCTGGCCTGCTACCTCTTCAGCATAATTTTCAAATTTAGACTTTAAAAATATTTTAGCAAAATACAAAAAGGAATGACTGCACCCCAATAACAACAAGCACACCCACTACCCAGATCTTGGTTTCTAAATACAATTCCCGAATAAAAGTAACTAGGGCTCCTTGAAGAAGGGACTGATTCTAATGCCGGGGCAAAGAATACACATGATGAGCCTGGAGCATCTTGTAGGGGCAGAAATCAACCAAGTGCTCAAAAACAAAAGGCTGGAGGTATGTTAAAGGGAAATGTAAGCCAACTTGAAAGAGCTCCCAAAGGCCAAAATTGGAACTATATGAGCTACAAAATAAATGATGGAGTAATGAATTAGAGCCAAAAGTGTAAAATAAATATACATGAATCCACACTGATACAAATAAATGATTGAATGAATAAATAAGTAAATGAGGGGAAAGAAACAAATCAAAGACTGAGAAATTGCAACAGATAGGAGGAGACTAAGGAAATATAATGACTAAATGCAATCTGGTTTCCAGAGATCCTGGAACTGAAAAATTAGTGGAATCTGAATAAAATCTAGACTTCGGTTAAGAGCATGTACCAATGCTGATTTCTTAGTTTTGACAAATGTACAACAGTAGTGAAATATCTTAACATTAGAGGAAGCTGGGTGAGGGATAAACTGTAACTCTGTAGTATCTTTGCAACTTTTCCAAACCCCAAATTATTCCAAAATAAATATATATTAAACAACAACAAAAAAAAACAAAACAAGCCCTGGCTTCATTCAACCTAGTAAAAAAACAGGTGTATAACTTAACCTGGTGCCCATCCCATCAAATTTTTATTTCCCCTCCCAGGTTGTGTGCCTTATCTTAGGACTTATCACTAGAATTAAGTTCTGAAGGAAGGAGTTTTTGTTGCTTGTTCTGTTACACTTTTTTCCCCCTTCTAATTGTGGTAAAACATAAATAACATAAGTTTCCATTTTAAGTATTTTAAAACATACAATCGAGTGAAACTAATTACATTCACAATGCTGCGTAAATACAATCTCTATTTCCAAAATTTTCTCATCATCCTAAACACAAACTCTGTAACCATTAAGCAATAACATCCCATTATCCCCCCACCCCCTGTTTCTGGTTACTTCTAATCTACTTCTATCTCTGAAAAATTGTTTTCCTTTTAAATTTATTTTTTCTTAATTGACCTGTGATAACTGTATATCTGAGTACATTTGTACTGTGTGCAATAATCATATCAGGGTGTTCCACATATCTACCACCTCAATATTTATCACCTTTTTCTGTTGGAAACATTCAACATCCTCTCAATTAGCTACTTAAAGTTATATAGTAATTTGTTGCTAGCTATAGATATATCTGAGTACATTTGTACTGTGTGCAATAATCATATCAGGGTGTTCCACATATCTACCACCTCAATATTTATCACCTTTTTCTGTTGGGAACATTCAACATCCTCTCAATTAGCTACTTAAAGTTATATAGTAATTTGTTGCTAGCTATAGTCTCCCTATATTGCTATATAACACTAGATCTTATTCTTCCTATATTTCTACAATTTTGTATACATTGACCACCCTTTCCCCATCCTCCTCTTTCCCCCTTCCCTTATTAGTCTCTAGTAACCACTATTCTACTCTCTACTTCTAGATCAACTTTTTAAACTTGCTGTTCTGTTATACTTTTTACTGGATCCCCAGCATCTAGAAAAGTACCCAGCCCTTAGTAGGCAAAATATTTGCTGAGCAGATATTTACTGAATAAATGTCTGTATTTATATTACTATTTCATATCTCTCTCCAAACTATTAATATAATTTTTCTTTTCCCACCTTAGCAACAAGGAAATTCCTGAAGGATGTGTGAAGGTAGAGATAAACATGAGAAAGAGCACACAAATGGCAAAGTATTTAAACCCTTGCTATGATCTATGAAGCTCTTTTTCATTAGTTAAAAGGATGCACTTAAAAAAAAAAATCTTCCCTTTTGCATACTACATCAGATTTCAGATTCTCTGCCTGATTTTCAAAGTTATCTGTGAGCAACACAAAAGCACAAGAAACAAAATTACCAGTTTTTTGCATGGCTATTTACTTTTCAAAAAGTAATAAAGATACTTAAGTGGGCCACATTTTCATACTTTCTATTAAAATAAAATGTGGTGGGAATTGAAAATGGTACAGCCACTTTAGAAATCAGTTTAGCCGTTTCTTTTTTTTTTTTTTTCCTTTTTGTCTTTTTTTCGTGACCGGCAACAGATCGCAACCCTCAGTGTCTCGCTCAGCCAGTGAGCGGCCGGTCTGTATGTGGGATCCGAACCCTCGGCAGGAGCACCGCCGCGCTCCCAAGCGGCGCACTGTAGCAGTGCGCCACTGGGCCGGCCCTAGCAGTTTCTTATAAAGTTAAATGTACAGTTCTCATGTAACCCAGAAATCCCACTAAGTATTTTAATCAAGAAAAATGAAGTCATGTTCACCCAAAAACTTCTAAGTATATGTTTATAGCAGCTTTATTTGAAATCACCAAACAATGAAAACAACCCAAATATCTAACTCGTAAATGGATAAACAAACTCTGTTACACCTATACAATGGCCTTTTGCTCAGGGGTGTATTACTCTGCAATAAAAAGGAATGAAATATTGAAACACAAATAGAATGGAAGCATATAAAATATATTATACCAAGTGAAAGAAGCTAGACTCAACAATTCCACAATTGTTTTATGACATTCTGGAAAAGGCAAAACTATAGGAATAAAGAGCAGACCAGTGGTTGCCAGGGGTTGAGAGTTGAAGGTAGGGTTGACTCTAAAGGAAGATCACGAAATCACCAAACAATGAAAACAGCCCAAATATCTAACTTGTAAATGGATAAACAAACTCTGTTACACCTATACAATGGTCTTTTGCTCAGGGGTGTATTACTCTGCAATAAAAAGGAATGAAATATTGAAACACAAATAGAATGGAAGCATATAAAATATATTATGCCAAGTGAAAGAAGCTAGACTCAACAATTCCACAATTGTTTTATGACATTCTGGAAAAGGCAAAACTATAGGAATAAAAAGCAGACCAGTGGTTGCCAGGGGTTGAGAGTTGAAGGTAGGGTTGACTCTAAAGGAAGATCACAGGAAAATTTCTTGGAGTGATGGAACTGTTTGTTCAGTACCATGATTGTGATGCTGTTTAAATAAATGAATCTATACTTCTGTCAAAACTCAGAACTGTTCACAAAAAAAAAGACATTACTGTATACATTTTTAAAAATAAATATGGAGGTTAAAACAAAAAACACCAAAAAAGAGGTTAAGAAAATATATAAACGAAAGCTCTTGTTCCAAGAACAATCATCAATCATTGATTGTCCCCTCTGCTCCAAGTCACAAAAGAAAAAAATGTACAATTTTGAAGAAAAAAATACAATCCTTTAACAGATTACTTCAGTTGTTATACTTGCAACTTATCATTTTGATGAAAATTAACAATTTCAGCTCTAAGAATCCAGGAAGATGTACAAACCAGGGAAGTTTGCTATTAAAAGAGTTAAAGAAACTTGAAAGAATAGCTTGGCAACCTTTGTAAATAAGAGTAAATGATAGGATATAGATTTGGTGTTAAATTTCCCTAAAACTCCAATGCTCCAGTTAACTGTAGACAAGCTC